TCAGAGCTGGCGTGAAGCACCGCACATTTTCACATCAAGTTTGGATTTTATAAATCACAACCTTGGCGTAAAAAGTGGCGCACGCAAGTTTCTGGGCTCAAATTGTGCGTACGCAAGTTTTATAAATCCGACCCCTGATGTGTTGGTTTAGTCTAATATTTACATTTGAGCTTGGTTCTTACTGGCTACTCTGGTACAGCATGTATTTATGGAACAAGAACAATGTGCTGGAAGTAAATCTAACCAAGGTATCGATCCAGTAACTTTAGTTAATATCATGTTTCTGTGGATTCACAGTCATCCAGGACATGGAAAATTGTCTATGTCCAAGGCAGTGTTTCCCCTAGGAAATTGGTCTTGGCGACTCACCTTCTATTTTGTACTACAAAAATATTGACATGGTTGTTAGTCAATTCTATTATCAAAAACATCTTCAACTAGAAGCACTCGGAGAGTGCAAACCTCCGCCAAGACCAATTTCTCCCATCCTGTAAAGGAGTTAATGCGCAAAAACAGAGATGGAAACACATTTGCCGAATAAGTTCTGACGTGGCGAACATTTAAGCAGCAGTATGCACGGGATTTCTTCCCTGTGGAGTCCAATGTGAAAATAAAAAGTCAGACTCGTCACCCGACATTATTCATTGTCAAACTGGTCTCAGATTAAGCTCCAAAGTCAGGGCTATTCAACTAAACTGCTCTGGGAGCCACAGTTACTGCAGGTCAACAGCTCAGGGGCCGAACATCCAGCAATTAAATTTATTATGTAAATAAACCAAGTCTTACAAAGATCTGTTACCTTAATAGTTTATTTTGCTGCATTTAATCATGATTAGAACATACAGAACCCTATAAAAGTAGTGATAAATAAACAATATCAAAAACAAAAAGAACACATTTTACCCGCTATTTGACACAACTATTATTTTGATATCTGTGACTTGCCAAATTTTTAACCCAATTTTATTTTCACTTTGGTAGTTTTATGTTCAACTGCTTGTCATTGTAACTGTCTTTAGTGTGCACAGAAATGGTTTTTACCAGCTTGTAGCCAAGATTCTGATGGTTCTGTAGATACCAAACATGTCTATGTCTAACTAAAAGAACTTAAAGTAATTAAAGTAGAAAACTTTTGAGCTTAAGAGATGAATGAACCAATTGGCGGGCTGAATTTTGGTCACTCGCGGGCCGCCAGCTGAATAGCCCTGTCCTAAGTTTTCATCAGTCACATTCTGCTGTGTAAAACATGTTTTATCCCCTTTTATGAGTGATTGAAGCAAAATACAGCGTGTGAGCTCTTTCAGCACAAACACTCCCACGAACTTCAGAGCAACCACACAATAAAGTTCTTATGTGGAGTAGGTACCAGGTTGATCAGCTGTTCTCGCGGACAGTCCAGCGGCTGCAGCAGGACCCTCCTCCCGCTTTCGGTGTCCTGTTATTCCCAAAAAAACATTAAAACATTGCCTCCTCCCACTTGGCGCACACTCCCACACACTCTAACACACGTCTGGTCTAAAAAGTAATCCGCTACTAGCTTCCAAAATGCCAAAATGAATCCGTTTTCCCCCTGGCCCCAAACTTTGAGGCCCGGCCAGTTTACAAGGCTAGTACAGAGAAACTGTTTTGATCGGTTGTTTCGGATATGTGGTGTGTTTGAGGAAATGGGAAAACTAGGTTTCATGGTGCAGTGAAGCACTTCCTGGTCACAAAAAGTTCTCTAAATGCACACCAAATGTGTAAAAATGTGCACGTTATGGCAAAAATTACTCATCATTAAATCTGGTTTTATTTGGAAGTAAACATTACTTTTATAAAGTTTGAAGTACGTGCTGCTCAATCCAGTTCAAATGAACACTGAAAGCTCTCACTGTTTTTTACAGAAGCCCTGTAAATGCATCACAGCTTTGGAGCTCAGAGGGTTAAAAGAAATAAAAAATTCCTGTATTCGTATTGTGATCCGGAACATCACCAAAATTTAACGGTGTGTTCCTGGGGACAGTACCCACATGGTAAAAATGTCATGACAATCCGTCCAAAAGTTTTTGAGTAATTTTGTCCACCGACAGACAGATCGACAGACCGACATACACGACCGAAAACATTAACTCGCTGTTGGCGTAGGTAATAAACTTTTTTAGACCTTTCCAGTGTTTCCTGTATTTGTCTTGGGAGGGCTGCTTATGAAAACGGAATGATCAGCAGCATGAAATTTGCATTAATTAAATCTTATCATGTGAATCTCATATCTAAAGATACATTTAAGATGTCTTGAACTGGAGTCTCCATACAACCTAATGATAAATCTAATTGTATTTATACTAGTCAGAATATAATTAGAGATATCTTAAATAGGTATTTTGCCTTGTCAAAAAATATTAAGAGATGTCCATTTGTTTCATTCATTCATAAGAACAAAACAATATGTACAGCATTAAAAAACAAAGTAAACCCTACCCTGAATTAAAAGGGAGCAGAGTGAAAGAAAATATTCTTGTGTCCCTTATTTTCAAAAACCAACTTCAACAAACAAACAAGCTCAAGCTGGAACAATCTCCAAGTTTAAAAAATAAGTAAATAAAACAAAAAATATTAAACAAAAACATTTTATTATTTTATCTGAAATAACTAATCTGTCTAATGTAGTCATAAAACAACTTCAGATTACTGGAATGTAAGAGTGGTGAAGCCAAATAAATGCAATATCGGCCTGCCATAAAGTCAGCCTCTGCCCGCTGCTGCGCTCATAGCAGAATCCGACCGTAACAAGATGGATTTATGACTCATCGAACGTCCGCATCTTTTTATCATCTCTGTGGGTAACAATACATAAAAAACAATTTTTTTCTCCGACAACTTGGGTGTGAAAAAACCATGGTTGTTAAAGCTTCGCTCTGAGCGACGTGCAGCGGGAGGGAGGGAGGAAATGATCCTGCGACATGACGTAACTTTTCTACAGGGGAGGGGGAAATTTTGAGGATTTATTCTCTCTATAAGCGTTTTAAAACGCTATAGTTCTTCATTTGTTTTCAGTATATTTCGAATAAGTGGCCCTATGAAAAACTTAAGAAATGGTTTACCAGACTGAATATGGGTTTGACCTGCCCCGGGCAGTCGGGCAATAGGATCTGTCGAACCCTGCTCGCGGGAACCTGGTCGCACGCAGGGTCTGTGTTGGTGGTTCTTGCTGTAATCTATAAAAGTAATTATTGATAAGGTAACCATGCTGTGACTTCACCTGTTGCATTTTCTTTTAAAGAAAGAAAAAGTAGCTTGCAAAGCTGTTGCATCGGTGCAACGTGATTAAAAAAACGCAGAGTTTTCATCGCACGTCTAATCATACACACACGTCTTTCTATCCTTCTGAGGACCACACACAGCGCTCAGCCTTGCTCTGCGCCGTCCCCCGTCCCCCCCAACTTCCCAAGTTTGGCGAGAAGTGGATACGGAGGGGCACAAAAAATAGCTCTCGACTTGATTTGGCCTTATTTAAATAAAAATGACTACATGCCGTGAAATTCTTAGAGGGACGGGCCGTCTCGTTGGCGACGGGGCCTGCCCCCCTTGTATAATGGTAGGGGAAACACTGCAAGGTTCAGCTGCTTCGTCTTTGTTCTCTTAAATTTTCCAGGAGACATGTGAAGTTACAAGATATAAACAGCACCAAGTTGTTATCAATATTCTAAACGTGGATCGATCTGATCATCTCCACCTCACTGATGTAAAAGTCAGATGAAATGAGACACGAGGGTTCAGACTGCAGTCGCTTTGAAAAACATCTGTTTTGGATCTGATTTTGTACTATGTACTAAAAGGACTTGAACATTTTTTGAAAAAACAGATTTGTAAAGTTCATATTGTCAGAAAAAAATAATAATAATCCGATACAGTATGGGTCACATTGGGACAAAAAAATGAATAAAAGTTTGGGCTGCATTTGCCTGCAGTGAACATAGCCCAAATGAAACAGTGGTTTTCTCTCTCTATTGTGGCTCTTCCTGTCTCTCATGTCTGCAAAGCTCAGTTTTATTTCATGTCTTTTTTAAAGCCAGCCTCTCAGCTAAAAATAAGCAACAATAAGACAAAGGTCTTTGTTTTTTACTTTAGAGCTTCAAAAACCAAACTGCTTTAGATGTATTACAGTTCTCCTTTTATTCTGATAAAAAATTACTTTAGTCTTATGAGGCTGAAAAAACAATGTATTCATTATAGATTGTAACCTAAATCAGTACTTTGAGCTTAAAGTGAATTTTGTGATTTTGTGACTGATTTGAGGGGTTTTAGCAGCATCATCGTCTTATTTTGTGAATCCAATATAATATTAAAATGTAGGAAAATATTCTGACCTCTCAGTGATTTCAGCTGCTTCACCCTCCTTGTCCTTGTCTTCATCTTTCTTCTCCCCCTTCTGCAGAGGCTGGGAGATGATGTCATCAGTGAACGAGCTGAAGTACGACTTGATGAACTGGGGAGAAGGCATCATGGGCTCACGGTTCTGCAGAGGAAAGATTTGGAAAACATCATCAAACATGACAAAAACTAAACAGTCTCTCAGCTGCCTCACTGAGTTCTGTGTTTTTATATGTCAAAAGTGAGAGAAGAAGATATAACTGTAAAATATTACACAAGTGACTTTTTTCTTGGTAAAAAACTAGCCTGGATGTAACATCTAGGTGTGGTTTTGAAAAGAACGCACTGAACAAGTTGCGTATTTACTGAAGTTTGTTTGTGTTTTCAGTGACAGATCTCAGTAGCAGACTTTCCTGATTTTGGATGTTTGTGTCGGCTCATTGCCAAAGGTACTCATTTTTCTAAAAGCTACAGTTTTACTGATAATGGCTGTAAAAAAAGGACAGCTTAAACACTGCCTCTGAATAAACTCAGGAGGCTACAGCTGCTGCTCAGCTACAAGACTTTCAAAAATATTTAGCTGTGTTAAAAAATAACAGCGAAAACAGTCTAAAAAATAAATAAAATACAAAGACATCAGACTTGTTTATTAACACCATTATTTAATGGTAAGTAATTGAGTTGCTGCCCTGCTTTAATCGTCCATGAAAGTGGTTCATGCAAAGTGAAACAGGAAGCGACATCCAAGAGGAACTCTTTGAAAAGGAGGAACTTACTGTTTTTGTTTTGTTAAAACAATGTTACTTCTTCCCCAAGTTTGATTCATTTGCTAAAATAAACATCTTAATTACACCAGATTCAAGCTCAGTTAAATTAACCTTTCTTAGTAATTCCTCCGTATAGTGCCTCAATTGTAAGTATCTGTGGAAATCTTTGTTGTTTAGTTCATATTTATTCTTTATTTCTTCAAAGCTTTGTATATTATTTTTCTTGACCATCTCCCAGATTATCTTTGGACCCTTTTCCCATTTACTAAATGTTTTGTCTGTTAGATTAGGTTTAAAATCTGAGTCATGAGCTYWRCATCTTAGTACTCTACTCTGCTCTGTCATCCCATATTTAAGAATAATTTTATTCCATATGTCAAGAGATAATCCTAACCATGGATTCGATTCCTCCCTAAGGTGTTTTCTCAATTTATTATCATTTATTATGGCTTGTAGAGGTATCGTGGGTGACATAGCACATTCTATATCTTTCCATTTTGCAGTATATGATGGAGAAKATATGTTCAGTAGAGTACTCAACTGTGCTGCCATATAGTAGCTCTTCATACAGGGTAAGGCCAACCCCCCTTTATCCTTTGATAACTGCAAAGTTCTGAATCGAACCCGTGGTTTTCTTCCTTGCCAAATGAATCTCGATATAATTTTATCCCATTCTGTAAACTCTTTATCAGTCACCTCAACTGGAAGAGATGTAAATAAATACAGTAACCTTGGTAGCACATTTGTTTTAATCATTTCTACTCTTGACGTTAAGCTTGTAAAGGGGATTAAACTCCACCTTCCCATATCTAACTTTATTCCCGACATCAAGGGACCAAAGTTTAAAGATTTTAGTTCAGATAGGTCATGGGACAGAAACACTCCGAGATATTTTAAAGATTTTGACTGCCAATCCCAACTAAATGTGTTTTTAATGAATTGATCTGGTGAGTAGTTGAAAGAAAGAACTTGGGTCTTCTTCGTGTTTAATTTGTAACCTGACATCAGCCCAAATTCATCCAGTATACTGAATAGTGCTGGAAGTGACTTGTCTGGTTGAGATATGTAAATCAGAACATCATCTGCAAATAACGCTATCTTTTGTTCCCCTCCTTCCATACATATACCC